CGCTGGTGGCTTTTTGTCATTGCTCAGTGTGTTCTTACAAAAAAAAAAATTGAAAGTCGCTTTTTTTTATTTAGACATACTGCAGGTCTTGAACAGGCCCCTGCAGGTGTGGGGTACATACAAACAACAAAACTATACATATGAGAAACAAGAAACACATGGGAACCATATGTATTGCTTATACAACGACATATATACATATGAACACCATCAGCATAACAAACATTCCATAATCAACGCGTAATATACAATAAAAAATGCATGTACAAAATCCAGGAAACGAGAACAATCAAAAGGTGTGACTTTCAAGAGATCCACTGAAGCCAGGGGAAAAAAAATGTCACCAGAGAGGGCGTTCCAATCCGTAATAGTGCGTGGGAAGGAGGACTACTTAAAAATGTTAGTTCGAGCGAATATTGGTACCAGGGAATACTGATGATGGTGCCTAGATTCCCTAGATGATGACGAGGATAAATATAGACTTGATTCAATGCGGAGTCTGTTATGATAAAGCAAAGACTACAATTTTAGTCTCGCAATTTTTCGACGATGCTGGAATGATGATATATTGTTTGCTATTATCAATGAAGATAGGTGAAGATAGGAAATCTAGCCGATTATACTTTCCATAGATGAAGCGAGTAGCTCTTCTCTGAACAAACTCAAGCTGTGACGCATCCTTTTTGGTATTCGGGTCCCATACTATGCCAGCATATTCTAACTTCGGTCGGACCAAGGAGTTACATGCTTGTAATTTAACGGAAGGGGCAGCGCTTCTAAGCTTCCGACGTAACAAGCCCAATTTACGAGAAGCGGAGGAGCAACGTGTTCGGGTCGCACAAGTTCGCGGCCTACGCCTTGTTTCCCCTCGAAGTTGTCCAGGCAGATTCGCCGGCGCAATTTCGGAAGTCGACAAGCCGGCTGCTCAATAGAGCCTTTTCAAAAGTGCGCGCCATCTGGTAGCATGCTGCACCAATTAATCGAATCCGCCATTGTTCGGACGCGCATTTCTGAGCTTTGATGGAATGCAATGGGCTGCGTCAGACTTCGGCGTGACACTCGGCTCGTATCGAAAATTAGAGCTGCACCAGCGTTCAGCAAAGGCTCCGATCCAATCACACGCATCGTGATGCCGCCAATGTTGCTTCAAGTAGTTTTTCACCGCAACTCACAATCTGTCGGCACGTAAGAGTCAATCAGCCGATATGCTCCTTCAGAAAACACCAAATACAAATGATTTGGAGGTATAGACGCGGATCAACTAAGTTTAGCCACTTGATGAGTGCTATCAAAAACCGTTTGGAAACGTTATTAAAAGTGTATCTGGAAGAAGAAAAAATAGTTTTAACGTTTAGCTTGCGATGTTCAGCGTGCGCGCCTCCGAGGGGAACCCTTCTCACTGTTTTAAAGTGAGACTTTTGAAGGAGCGAAAATTTTTGTACGTGTTTTGGCCAGGCCAGCGACAGTGATCACCGATACGACAGAATATTAGTCGTAGCATGCGTATACGTATGTCCTACGGTGTATAGCTGCAATGCTGTCAATGATCGTGGTCTCAGAATCGCGAGACTATATTTAACGAGGCATTTTCGCAATATTTCCGCAGTGCTCGAGGATAAAAGGATACGTCGCACGCGGTAGCCTAGCCTCGGTTCTGTGATGCTAATTTACGAGAAAGCGTTTAGCCACTTCAGCCTGGTGCAATCGTAGCGGCCAGCGTGTAAAGCACGAAGTTGGGAGCACAACAATACTGTCAGTTAATAAGCAACTACATATTGTACGCAGGTTGCAAACTTTTTGGCTTTAGTGGGAGAATCAGCGTACAGCGACTCTGTCATCAAATCAGCGGATCATACAGGTAAGATTTTACGTTAGAAGTTTGCGAGTAAAATTATATGAACGTCACAGAATATTTTCCCAACGTTGTATATGCCGTTAGAACACCCAAATAACAGGATGAAGGCACTCCTGAAGCTTTAAATTTGAGGTGTATGGTGATAATGGGGTCGATAGAAATCAATCGATCATTTGAATATATAGATTAGCATTTAGAGTTCTGTAAATATTTTTAATAACTTTTTTTTTTTTTGCAAGGAATAAATTTAGAGAACTTCCTTGCACTTTCCGAGTCCGATGATCGACTCCTGATCCGAGAGATAAACACACTAACAGTACTGGGCCTATGATATGGTTTTCGGTGAATGCACCTTGACGCATTTATTGCGAAACCTGTGTCTTCACTGCTGCTACATTTTGTTTTTGTACAGATATTCGTCGGGAGTACATCAGAGCAGCAATCTATGGCGTGGTACGAATTATAACCCTATCCATGAGTGGATACTGGATAGTCGCATTCAAAAAGGCAAGTCAGACCTTTTTCATTTTAATTGATTGAAGCATATGCCCTCAAAAATGACTCAACGTTTTGACAAGATAGCACGCCAGTAAATCAAATGAATGCGTTGTATGAAAAAAAATGGAAATAACCAATAGTAGCTTGGTGCTTGAAGTGCGAATATTCACAGGAACACATATAACGTTCCAGATTGTCTTAATGGGGCGGTGCAACAATATTCAGTTGGTATGTTTTTAACTTAACACTAGCTCACTGGCGCTAGTGGAACTCAAGTATACTCAGCCCCAACGCCACTGACCAAGAAACGTTCTTGTTGCGGTGTAATTTCAAGAAAATAAAAGCGAGCGTTTTTTTTTTCTCCTTCACGAAATTTTATGACGTAGCTCAGAGGAAGCAGTGTCGGCATAGTCCCCCAGTGGCGATATTTGAATACGGCTCAGGTATTGGACCCAGTCATTGCAGGAGAACTCGCAACTAACAATCGTCACAATTAAAAAAAAAAAAAAAAAAGAAGTGACTTCCTCAGCTTTAGATGTGGTGTTGAGAAGCTCAGGCAATTTCATTTTCCTCTGTCGCGAACTGTTTTAACATTTCTGAAGCACAAAAAAGAGTTTCTTGCGATTCCAGATAAAGCTTAAGATAACTGGAAACTATAATGTTAAGCACCAAGATGCTGAGGTGTCGTTACTCTAAAGCGTACCTCATGAAGTGACTATATAGCCGAACCATGTCTGGAACTCAGCGGGTGTCTTGTGCTTTTCCAACCCATGAGCGTGGCTTGGGTTGGCAACATTGGCGGCACATAATCGACTCCAGATCACATGGCAGCTTGTACTGGCTGCGAGTTGAGGCGGTAAACGCTGCTCTTTTTTTATTTTTATGCGAGGATATGAACCGTCTCATGGAGCGAACCGACGTTATCAGCTTTGAAGCCGCGCCAAATGGCCCCTAAACTACCCTGTCCCAATGGAGCGAAATGAAGCCGCGATCTCATTAATAGGCTCCCATTGGCTGGAGCGCGTCATCAAGGAACAAGGCTCCCATTGGCTCTCGCGCAACGTAGTTCCAAGGGACGCCACCAGAGAAGTCCTCTCAATGGCGGCGCAGCGCACGCAGCGGCCCGGCCGCCGGTAAGAGGTGCGGGTCTGGCCGCACAGCCCGCTCGGGCAAACACCGGAAAGGCTGCACGGCCGAGCTCAGCGCGGCGCGAACACTTCACGAAAGCGGGCGCTCGGCCGTCGGCCGCTAGCACGACCGTAGCTAAACGTGGCCGTCCACGCCACTACGCCGCAGACGAACTAAGGGAGCGGAAGAAGTACATCCATTCTTTCGCATTCACAACTCATAAGAAGTGCTTAGGTGTCCTCGGACTTTTTTTTCTTCTTTTTGTGCGACTTCTATTGCTTGGGACGAGAAACAAACGCGCGTTTTAACAGTTATAAACGTCGAGGATTCCTTCTAAGCGGTATTCGCGCGAAGTACAAAGATCGTCGCTTTGGCACAGCTCACATCGAAAATCAGAGCTGCGTCAGCTGTCGGCGAATACTCTCGGATTCAATCACTCGTTTTATGTCCAAGAAGGGGCGACCCCCAATGTCGCTTGATGAGATTTTGCACAAGGTCTACTGCAAATCTAGTTAAACCTAAGTTTTTTTTTTATTATCTTCGAATCATTTTGTTGCTTATGTCTACTACCATTACGTGACCGCGGACTAACGTTACTAAAACCCTCAGTTGGGAAACTCACCCTTGAAACCTGGGCCGCTGGCCTCCACCGAGACCGAGCTAAATACGATAACAGTGCCACCTTTTAGCGACGAGTTGAAACATGAAAGTTGCTTTACATAGCTACTGCGAGATGGCCCTGCGAGATGGCGCCACCTAGAGTAACTGTATATGCTCCGCTTGCGGAGCAGAGTACCGCAATGGTGCCATTCTGGAGCCAAGCACTGCGGGAAGCCAAGGTCGTTTTTTTGCAGGGGACACGAAGGCGCAGACGCGAGGCGGCGTGCTGGGACGTGCTGCGGCGCGCTACGTAAGGAAAATAGTGCGGCTGACGAGAACGCCGTTCCCTCGCTTTCGGGCGAGAGCTCGCCGACTCGCCGAGATGGCCGGATGTGCCGATCGCGTATCACTCCGCATCACTCCGCGAGAGCCGCAGACGCGAGCTACGCGATCGTCGGCCGTGTCGTCTGCTTCCCATACCTTGGAAACCGATGTCCAAAAACATCGCTCGCGTTATAAAAAAACAGGATTGTATTGTACCCAATTGACGCACATAATGTTCAATGACTTATTAAGCTTTCGGTTCGTTCGATTTTAGCCTGGGATCTATATCTTGACAACTCAAAGCGGAAAATATGTTCCCTTGAAACTCGGCGCTCTGGAAGGCCGCTTTTCCGCACGAAGGTCGGATCCAGTTCTGCCCACGTGCCCACTCCTCCGCCAATACGGAGATGGCGGTGAAAGGAAAATGAACGCGATACTCTGGCTCTGCAAGCAGAGCCTATAGAGTTACTCTAGCGCCACCGGCCCTTGCCCGACTCGACGTGCAGCCGTGCAGTTCCCGGAGTGGACCCTGCCGGAGAAATGGCGGCGTTCCGATCTCCATTAGCTCGGTTCTCGAGTACGGGTCGGAGCCACTTTTTTGAAACAGGCTCTATGGCAGTTTCCCAAGTGAGTTGTTTTAGTGACGTTGCCGCGGACCTAACATTAAACTCAAAATCGTCAGTATAATAACGCGAACTGCTTGTGGCTAGACAATCTCTCGTTGGAGCACCATAGCAGTGAGAAACAAATCCGGTTGTTCTTACAGATTTTCACCACCGTCTCCAGGTGCTATTGAAGTATGTGATCGTATACATGCAACCTGCTGTTTACTACTTTGACATTTTTACGCTTGGACATAAAGTAAGTGGACGATTAAGGACGAAGCAATTAAACTAAGTACACCTATACAATAGGGCACTCTTCAAAAAGCTAACTTTGTTCTAGCAGCTGTATCGATATTTAGTATAGTCACAGAATCTAGTTCGGATTTTCGCAGGAAAATATAGCGAGTGAGAAAGTATGTTTATTGTTTTATGGAATGTCAACGACGTAGTTAGAAAACTACAGTAAGTCTCAAAATAGCACCACTTAGGGATGCAGTTAAATTTTTTGATGGCTGCACCGTGAATTATGCGTGACTGCTGTAAAATCCCGAACAAACGGTCCCCTTCGGAAGGTCGTTCACCTCATTTTTTTTTTTGTTTATTTGGCCCCGCGGGTGAGCGTTCATTTGGGATTTTACGGTCAATAAAAAAAGTACGACAGGCAGCAGCCGATGCGGTTCCAAAGGTAGGTTGAAGAACGTTTCTTCGGAATTGTCAACAAAAGAGCCGCCACTGAACGCGCAACACGCAGCAGCCACTAAGTTTCATGAAATGCGTCATGACCGTCCCCAAGGGTATCCTTACAAGCAGGACGTGTCTAGATGGCGATCGTTTTATTGAAGAAATGGAAGGGGAAACCTTCCTAAATAAAATTTGTAGCTAAGAGTTATACATCAGATTAACAGTTTTTCTCGCGCCGAAACTGGTTTTTTCATGCTGTGTAGGTTTTAAAGATATATAAGAACACCTCTGCGAAAACATTCGGCCTTTTCTGAGAACGAAGAGTTTACTGGTCGCCTTACTAAGCCCATGTATGTTGTCATCAATATCCCTGAAGACAACCGAGGTACTGGTACTGTTCACACGCAAAACTGGTGTAGAGAAGCTGCTCTAGAAAGCGTTAAAATTTTTTCTCTCTGCCTTGACTTTTTAATATATTTTCTTTTTTTCTCAATTGAAGTAGGTAGACGTGTTCACCTACTTCAATTAAGGTGGTTCAAGGAAATGGTGAGGACATTCCTTACCATTTCCTTGAACCACCTTAGACTGGGTGGAGAATTTAGACGCATCAAAAGTGGAAGGAACAGGAACAGAAAGACAGAAGGCGCCTTCCGTCTTTCTGTTCCTGTTCCTTCCACTCTTCTAAATTCTCCACCAAGTCTCAGGTGGTTCAAGAAAATGGTAAGGACATCTTTGCAAAAATGTCCTTACCATTTCTTTGAACCACCTTAGACTGGGTGGAGAATTTAGAAGCATCAAAAGTGGAAGGGACAGGAAGAGAAAGAAAGAAGGCGCCTTCTGTCTCTCTGTTCCTGTTCCTTCCACTTTGGTTCCACTTCCACAACGGCTGCAGTGGCTCGATCTTCTCCTCTTCCGCTCCCGCGGCGCGTCATTGGCACGGCAGCATGCCGGAACTCTCTTTCCCTCTTGTAAGAGGAAAAGGACGCAAGGAGCGGATGAACGGAGCGAAAGAGCAAGGTGGGAACCGCGCCGCGGCCTCTTGAAACCAGTCCAGACCAAACCAGTCAAACGAAAGACGGCTGCATGCACCATGGGCAATCAATGCTGACGCATTTAAAACAACGTACCATTTAAGTTATTTCATTTCCCCTTTCTCGAAGGCAAAGTCCGCTTTTGTAAAAAATCGGGTAGTTTCCGAAAGCCGTAGAGAAGCTAAGGCAGCCATTGATAAGGGTTGCAGACGACGCCGGCGTTCGACGGTCGGAGGTCAGACTCTGACGTTGCTGCTCCTCGTGCGCGAGACGCAAACGACGGTCTTGCTCGCTTTCATTGGAGGAAAGCAGCGTGTGGAGACAAAGGCAGCTAGCATTTTCGTCTGCCCATTATCCTTCCAATCAGAGATCGACACGATCTCGCTTAGAGTGTGAGGGACGTCAGAGCGCCAAGCACTGACTGGAAGGATAAATACAGTATTAAGATGATGCAAACCGGATAAAGAGAGGAGGGTGAAATGACACGTGTCTTTCCTTTATTTTGACCGAAGAAGAGAGTGGTATACAGTATATCAGCGAATTTGGAAATTGTCTAGATGTCAAATTTGCGTAGGCTTGTGTAGAAATTTATATCTGAATGTACGCGAAATTTGTAGTTAAATAAAAATTAATTGATTCATTAATTGGTTAGGGTACTAATTTTTAGATGTTAATATACTCCTTATATCTTTTTAAATGCAGGGCTACCGGAAGGGGATGAATGCAGCCTTCATCTGGATTCTAATTCGAGCCGTTGGAAACGTACTGTACGTCTACGGTAGCGTCCTCTTCGAGCTTCTGCACATTGTAAGCCTATGTTATTAGGTCACGACAAAGCAAAATCTTCTCAGAGGTTTTTTAGAGATCTAACATTCTATATGTGCTGTGTGCGATCACCTCGTGACCGCAAGTCAACTCGTCGCCACGCACCGCAGTTTTCACGATGTTTTCTGTTACGAAACATAAAAACCTGGGATGTGGTGATGTTCATAAATCATTACACCAAAGGGATAATTCAACGAAATTTGAAATAATCCCGTCGTGTTCAAAAATAGGTTGAATATGATCCACAATATCCGTAAATGACAATCGCACGTTTGTATTTTGAACCTGGTGGCTGTATTTTTTGTTATAAACGGCCCACTCTGGCAAGCGCTCGAAGAAGGCCCAGCGGAGACCACGTGACATCCCACGCAATCGTGACGTAGCTCGTCTTAGGACGAGCAAAGCTACGGCAAGGATGACGTCGAGAGGATGGCCTAGTCGTTCCAGCCACCGAAGCGGCTGCTTTTGTACGAATTTTGAGTGACGGGTTAAACCTCTTTAATCTTGTAGGTGGACAATAGCGACTTCTGCGACACACAAAAGGCATTCTCGGGAAGAGGGGAGTTCCTCTTTCCCCTCTTCTTTCGTCGTGGCCGTAGGCGAGACAACCTCCGTCACTAGCTGTCAAGGTTCCTAGACGAGCATTACAAACGAAGCGTTAGCGACATCACCAGGTGCTCTTTGCTAATGGTTTAATTAGTTTTAAAACTCCCTTTCCAGACTTTTTTCACAAGATATTTGTATTTTCGATGTGATACTGCTCCTCTGAACACATATAGACCAAAAAAGTGAGCGCCGAAATTTCGTTGTAGTATCCATTTAAAGGGATACTTCAACGAAATGTGAAATATTCCCGTCGTGTTCAAAAATAGGTTAAATATGATCCACAATATTCGTGAATGACAATCGCACGTTTGTGTTTTGAGCCTGGTGGCTGTATTTTTCATTATAAACGGCCCACTCTGGCAAGCGCTCGGAGAAGGCCCAGCGGGGACCACGTGACATCCAACGCAATCGTGACATAGGTCGTCTCGGGACGAGCAAAGCTACGACGAGGCTGACGTCGAGAGGATGGCCTAGTCGTTCCAGCCACCGAAGCGGCTGTTTTTGTACGAATTTTGAGTGACGGGTTAATCTTCTATAATATTGTAGGAGGACAACAGCGACTTCTGCGACACACAAAATGCTTTTCGTGACTTTTTTAACAAGATATTGGTATGTTCGATGTGATACTGCTGCTTTGAACACATATAGACCAAAAAATGAGCGCCGAAATGTGGTTGTAGTATCCCTTTAAAGGCACCAGTGGTGAGACAGAGATATCAGTTCATCTTACCATTCCCCTACTGGGAGCCGAAGCCGGTACCCTAGCCCTCCTGCCACTAAAGTAGCGTGCTTCGGTCTGCATAATCAAGGATATAGGATAACGTTAGGAGCACGGGATTGGAGCGAACAGTTCGTAGCCTTGGCCTACAGTCAGAGGTAAAGTCATTGGATCCTAGGAAAGTAGCACCATTGCCTTCCCAGCCTGCCAGACGGACAAAAACAGACACTAAACTTACAGACGACCAAAATATCCCGAGGTGTTTGGCTAATTGGTCTCTGCTGCCATGGCAATTGCCATTTCGTTTTCTTTTTTCTTTTTTTAATGTGCAAAGTTTGGAAGGGTCGATCTGAACCAGCGACGCCAAGATCGCCATAGAGAGCATCACAATACTCCAAGCGTTTCTCGCCAATATAATCGTCTTTGGCACTGTGAATTCAATTAACTTATGCTTATCTCTACAACAGAACTCTTACAATGATGTTGTTTTTCTTGCGTATTCCAAGACAAGAAAATTATTTGGCGCTAAGCATCGACGCCTCGTGTGGTGGTGGTGCGAAAATAGTGAGTTTTAGTGTTGCGTATACGTGCAAACGCAAGCATGGGCGTTTGCGTTAGCGTCGCGTTTTTCACACTGAGCGTGCGCGGAGCTTCAAACTGCGTCTTGGATTGGCGAATGGCGACGACGCGCATGCACATGGCTAGAGCACGCAACACTAACGCAAACGCACAACTCTTGCGTGTGCTTTTATAAGCAATACTAAAACTCTCTAATGTGCGCTTGTTTCGCCGAGTGTGGGGATAACAAAATATCGGTATACAAGAAATGTCTTTATAGAGCAGCCTGTCACCGGAAACTGGGATCGGATCACCAAGAACGAAGAGGTCAAGAAGAAACTGCTCGTTCCATGGACCAAAATGGCGAACATAAGGGAAGATTGGCGTTACTTTCCCAGGATCCAGTGACTTCAGTCAGAGGGAACTGTGAACTGAGTATTGAAGCTAAGTTCAGCTTGCATTGACTATGTTAGAGACACTAAATGAGCTGTGCTTAGAGTATCGCCACTCTGTTCCCCGACTTTTTTTTTTGTGGGTGCCGCCATCTTGGAGTTTGTGCAGAGCAGACGCAGCTGTCGACTGTTACAATTCAGGAATGCGATTTCCTCAGCTTTAGATGCGGTGTTAGGAAGCACAGGTGATATCGTTTTGCTCTTTGGCCAACTGTTTTGAACATTTCTGGAGGACGAAAAAGAGTTTACTGCGATTTAAGATAAAGCTTCAGATAACTGGCAATCTTGACTTTAAAGGGGCACTGAAGTGGTTTTTGAGTTCGTGTTTTGATGATGACAACTGAATCTAGAAGCCCTAGGTATCCCTAAAAACCCAAAAAATATAGTCATACGGTGATTATTTCTTTAATAAAAATGTGATTGAATGCCGCCAAACCTCGGATACGTTCAAAAGCGAAACCACTCTCATTGGTCACCGCTCACATATCAAAACGATCTCGGGCCAATGGCGTTAGACGACGTTCCGTCGCGCAGTGATGCCGAGGTAGCCGCACCGGCCGAACCTCTTTGTCATTCGAGCTTCGATCATGGCCGAGTTCTCTACGCTCGAGGACCTGACGCCGTTAGAGGTCGGAATTCTTCGGCGGACAGCCTACCCGGGGATGATTTCCTATGAAGCCACTCCGACTTCCAATGCGGACGATAGCAGCGCTTCGTAGTCGTGTTCGAGTTCCGAGTACGACGAAACGCAGACCTTTTCGGGCGTTCTTCGATTTGCAGTTGGGGCAAGCCGTAACCAAACGAACGTTTGGCATTGCAGCGTAACCTCTGGTACGTGATGTCAAACGATGTCGCCACGTTGACGTTCGCCTCGGGAGGACGGCAGGCTGGTTCAGACATGTGCAACGAGCGCGTTACCTACGACTGCGTCCGTTGCAACCGGAACGACCGCTCTGCGCCGCGCGTACACACACCTGCAACCACTGCAACAAGCGCAGCGGGTCGACAGCACGGCGACCGCTTCTACTCCGCCGTCAGCTGTTTCAGCGGCGCCTCTAAAAAGGAAACGCACTGCCACTCAATGCCGTAACAGAATATAGACAGACAGTTTTCTATAGCTTTATTTTCTTTTTCATGATAGGCTTCCAAGGTACAGTTGATGAAAAAAAGAAAACGCAGCAGTACGCCGTCTTGGACGATTAAGACTCTAATACACGACTTTGCCAACAGTACAAATTTCGCCACACGCTTTTCTACGATTAAAAAAAAAATGTAATCTTAGCAGCGATATAGCAACGTAAAAATATGATTTCGTGATCAGATAGACGTTGCGAGCGTTCAGGATTGCTAACACTAATCACTTTTCTCCGGTGATGAAAAGGCCTGAAAATTCGCATACTTTTTAACGGCACGCGCCAGTAATACCTTGAACTTGAGCACACGCATGAAATACGCCAAATCAGAAATCCGGGCGATGTTCGAGGACACAAATGCTTAGAAAGCACCTCTGTAGTCGAAGTAAACGAACACGACGGCACGGGCGTTTCTGCTGTCTTGAGAGTGCTGCCACGACATCGCCGCACGACTATAGTGGATCTTCCCTTCTAGTACGTGCTGGGTTATCATAGCGACACACGACGAAAATTCACAGTCAAGGTTAGCGCTTTTATGCGGAACGATGAGCATTCACCACGCCGTCCACGTCGACGATCACCACCGACGCCATGTTTGCAGAAAGGAGAAGCCCGGCCCGACCGGCATGCAACGACGTGCGCTTCCGTGCATTTCGAGGGAACGGGAAATTCACCCCCCGCGGAGAAAGGCGAGGAGAAAATGTAGTCCCTTGTTTGTGAAACGATAATTGCAGTATCGCGTATTTTAAACTAGAACTATTTTGCGTCTTGTGAAATTATCATGCACAGCATATTTAAATGAACTGAAAATTGTTTCTTTAGCGGAACTTTACAAAGGCTGCCAAAATTTTCAAACATACGATAATTTCATTGGTCGGCGCAGGAACAGAAAATAGTCCGCACCTATTTTATTCCTGCGTGATTAATAGGTGGTTCTGCCTTCATAAACTGAAGATAGTCATTCACTGACACTTCCTTAACGCCATCGCACCAAAAAGTAGCTCCCCCAAAAAACACTTGAGTGCCCCTTTAAGAAGTAAGATGGCTGAAGTGTGGTTACTCTGAAGCGTAGCTTATTCAGTGGCTCTAGACTACGTCATATTAGGTCCCACTGCGGTGACCTTTCTGCTGAGCAGTTAGTTTCTGCAACATGCATTTCGCACCACCGAATTAAAAAAAAAAAAAATAAAACAAGAAAGAATGGTCACCAGTAGAGCCACTAAATAAGCTAAGCTTCAGAGTAACGACACTTCAGCTGTCTTGGGGCTTAAAATCATGGTTGCCAGTTATCTGAAGCTTTATCTCAATCACCGGAAACGCTTTTCCGTCCCTCAGAAATGTTAAAACAGCTCGCGACAGAGCAGAACAATATCACATAAGCTTCATAACACCGTATCTAAAGCTGAGAAAGTCGCGTTTTTGAATTGTGACGATCGACAGTTGCTTCTGCTCAGCGCTAAGTCCCAAGATGGCGGAGTCCACTAGTAGAAAGGGGAACGGTGTGACGATACTCTT